TTTCTTCTTCTTCTTCTTCTTCTTCTTCTTCTTCTTCTTCTTCTTCTTCTCACGCAGAGACCCCACCCCAAAATAAATCTCTCGACTCTTCTCCCAATTTCTTATCAATGTCTAGACAATTTCTTAAAACTTCTTATTTCCTATTCTAATTTCTTTCTCACTTCCTAGACCTCCGTTATGGTCGATGGTGTTTGCGGAAAGCCCCACGGCTGCCCAGTGACTGTAATGGAGGCGGGGTTTAGCGGCGGCAGTCGAGGGACTCGACTAAGGCTAAGAAGGTCGGCGATTCGCAGCTGATGAAGTTTGGTGTTGCTCTGGTGTGCGTTCTGGACTTTCTCGAGGGCCCAATCTTGCCCACTTGAACGACGACAGGGTGCGAGTGCGTTTCGGTTGATTCGAATCAACCCGGGTTACGTTCGGGTTTGCGTACCGTTTCGACAGAGGTTAAATAAAATGTATTGGGGATTTAAAAATGTGGTGTTTTAATGATGATGAATTAGATGGCTACGGGAAAAACTAAGGAAAACAAATATCAAATTTTTATTTTACCTTTTGAAACTTGCAGTTGACGAAGGTTGCATGCAGTTTCTATAATTTAAATCACTTTAAAAAATTCAGAAAATTTCAAAACAAATATCTTCCTAAAAGAAGGAGTTAAAATAGGGGTGTATACTAATAAGCTGAATTTCATTTTTTAAATTAACCAAATCTTTTCCTAAAAAAGAGGTGTTAAAATAGGGGTGTAATAATAAACTGAATTTCGTTTTTTTTCTATTCAAACTCAAATCAAAAATTTTAGGCGAGATTTGTGAAATAAATTCAAAAAAAGTTTTCAAAAAAGATAATTTTCAAAATAATTGAACGAAAAAAAACTTACTAAAATTGTATTTTTTTCTTTTAACTCTTTTATATAGTAATAGAAGATAGATTAAGGATGCAATTTCACGTGGCAAAAATAAAATTTCAGCTTTAAAATAATTGGCCACCTAGTTTAGTAGTCAGTTGGAGCCGGGTCAACACCGCAAATACTTAGGTGTGTCTTGGCACACCTAGCAAGGTGTGCCAAAACTTTTCTAAAATGATTATGTTACTTTATAAAATAAACATGTGTAAAAGTGTTTATACATGTTCATATTATAAAGTAACATGTTCATTTTAAACTGTTTTGGTACACCTTGCTAAGTGTGCCAGTGGTAGTAGCACTGGGTCAACACAGCCTGAACTTGAATGGTCTTGGCCCATACCCGCTATCAGAAAAGGGGAAACACGCATTATTATTATTTAATTATTATTCCTCTTTGCCCTAAAGCTACAAGTTAGCAAACCAGCCGCTCATTCCCCACTGACCGCCACCACAGCCGACCTTGCTGCGGCCGCCACAGCTGCCAACACGCTCTCTCTCGCCGTCGCCGCGCTTCTAATTCAACATATTCGTAAGAATTTTTTTTTTTATTTTTTTCTTTTACGCTCACTTTATTTTGATTTAATTATATATAAATATTTTTAATTGAGTGTCGATTCTGATTTTAAGTAGCGTTCATGCCAATTTACTGTGGCAGAAGAAGATCCATCGGAAACTGTAAACGGATTTTTTTTTTTTTATTTTTTTTTATTTTTTTTTGCAATTGTCGACTAAAGTGATAGATACATATAGTCAGGCTACTCTTTGATACATATATGCTATGGAACATGCTGCTGTAACTTGAATTTATCTAATTGTTCTTGTATTGGTTAGTGTGGAATTGCTGGCTAAGGGGTACAAGTCACCAACACTAACCAATAAATGACAATAAACTCTATATACTGCTCCGGTAAGATCAAGATTCAAGAATATTTTCCGATAATCTAAATGTGATTGGCTTTTCCAATGGATTGTATGCTAATTGCTATATGATGTCATTGGAGATGTTATTAGTTGATACTATTGACATAAATTATCTTGGTGACTTTTAAAAAGGTCAAGATTCATCATGGATCTAATTGCATATGATTTTTGGGTTCCCGCATACTAATCAACCTTATTTCAGGGTAGTCAAATGGCAGATAATCCTCAAGTAGATGATGCGTCGTCTGAGGTGATCTCGGAAAATGCACCTCAGCAGAAGGGAGAAACTCTTGAAGAGATGCTTTCTAGACACAGGTTTAGCTGAATAACACGCGCACGCGTGCACTTGTTAAGCTACATGCAAAACTTATTTTAGCTTTTCGTCATCCCAGTTGATCGTGTTAGAATGTCAATTGGAATTGCAGAATAGAGAATAGCGACCTACAGAAGAAGGAAATGTCGATGAAGAAGGCGGCAGCCAAAGGGAGCAAAGCCGAACAAAAGGCCAAAAAGAAACTAGTTGACGATGAGATACACCATCTCTCGACAAATCTCAAACAAAGGCAAGCAGACGAGCTCGCCTCCTTAGGCTACAGCAGCAGCACCAGCGAGAGCCAGAAAGGAAAAAATCTCGATAATCTTGTGAAGGCCATTGCTGGTGTCTCAATCACAAACCAGGCCGAACAATCTAAGCCCAGCAAGAGCCTCAAACGTCGCGAAAAACGGGCCCAAAAAGAGGCAGCCCGTGAACGGAGGATACAAGATGAGCAGAGCCAGATTGTGAGTGACCGTTCGATCGAGGATGAGAAACTGGCAAAAAAACTCGGCCCGCTCGGGTTCACCATCAATGATATAAAGCCCGATGGGCACTGCCTTTATCGAGCTGTGGAGGATCAATTGGGCCTCCAGTCTGGTGGCCCGTCTCCCTATACCTACCATGAGCTTCGTCAGATGGTGGCTGCGTACATGAGGGAGCACAAGTTGGATTTTCTGCCTTTTTTTCTTTCGGAAAATGCAGAAGATGATGAAAGTGAGGAGTCTATGGCAGAGAGGTTTGAGAATTATTGCAAGGAAATCGAGTCGACTGCGGCGTGGGGTGGGCAGTTGGAAATTGAGGCTTTGACCCATTGTCTGAAGAAACATATAGTGATATATTCTGGGTCATTCCCGGATGTGGAGATGGGGAAGGAGTATAAATGCAGCTCGCCTAGTTCGAGCATTATGTTGTCTTACCATCGGTATGCGTTTGGGCTTGGGGAGCATTATAATTCTGTTGTCCCCATTTCTTAGCGATGGATTTTGATAGAGAAGTTTATGAGAGAATCGTGGATTGACATCTATATATACATGTGTGTGTGTCCCTGTGTTATACATTAGTAAAATTGAACCGTGGATGGTGTGCTGAAGTAGAAGTTGATTCTCTTATATTGACCTTCATGTTGGGGATGTTAAATAGTGGATTTGCAGATGTAGCTGTCGGATTTTTTTTCTTGTTGTACGTGTTAGAAAAGTAGCTGTTTTAACATTTATTTGTCTTAAAAACAGCCATCTTTTTTTTTTTGCTTGTATCATTTAAGAAATAACATCGGATGGCTAATATTTATTCGTTTTTCCAATGATTCTTCTATTCGCATATTTTGAATTCGAATCAGAATTCAGTTATAACATCGTTTCATTTATATCCAATCAATCTTAGGTCAGTATTCCCTAACTTCAAATTCCAAAATAACAGGCACATATAAACAGCAACAAAAATGGTATCACATTCCTTACATTTTCAAAAAAACCAAATTACAAGGATTATTGGAGAAGATTGGCATGTTGACCCTCCAATCCGCAAATGTCAGTGTCCTAGGTGAGAGAGAGGGAGCTTCTCTATAGACGTGTTCTTAGCTCGTCGTCTAGTAAAAATTTCGTTTACATTGAGTTATTAAACCTACACATAAGCTTGAAGTCAGCAGATGTCAGCTTTCTCATCTCCTACTGTCCTACATGCCGTCATCTTCAGCTCCGGCCTTTAATGCAATTTCCTGAATCTGATCACGTCATCAAGGTTTTTGGTTTTTATCCGTATTTCCATTTCGAACACATTAAATTGAGATCTTGCTTTCAGGGTCTTCGAAAGATGAGGAATTGCCAATTGCCAGGTAGATATTAATTAGTCATTCACCTTTGGAAATGACTACAAAAACATCGTCAATAGACCATTTACGAGGTGTTAACTTGCTCACGGGGTTAATCACTGCACGCTCGTCTGTTGCAAGTCGGTATCCTATCACAATCTCCTCTCTTTGGCGCCCTCTAACCATTATCTCAAAGAAACTGATTTCTTCCTGGTCATATAGATAAAATTCTCCCGGCTTTATGCACATCTCATTTCCCTGCATATGGAGGAGTGGTAAACAATTTTTCTTTTTTCCCGGCTTTAAAACAGATGTTCAAGTGGATTATTTGTAAGGTAAATAAGACAAACCTCTCAGGTAGCTTTTTTATTTAGTTAATTATTTTTTCAATGAGAGATGGAGAAAAAAGTACCTTTTCTGCAAACAGTTCTTCTAACACACGATTGATTTGTTTATCCTCTGCCACCATGGCTAGAGCCATGCTTACCAGCTCATTTGATAGTACGTAATCGCTAATCCTAGTCACAGACACAAGATTTCTTGTTCTAGAATCCAATATTTCGCTTATAATTATGGACTTGTCTGAAGCTTGCTGCATTTCCCGAATCCATGAACTTTGGGAAAAACCGGAATGCCTTAGAGAAGGGGACTTAGCGTCTCTGCAAGGAAGCCGCTTTGACTGCAACAGGACAGATGTTTTATTTAGTTTCGACAATGCCACTTTCTTTTTGCTCCACCCATCCATTATGAGAATCAAACATGATGCAGCAATAATTAGAAGATTTTCCAGAACATGAATTGAAGTAGCATATGAATAGTTTTTTTCTTTTCTTTTATTTTTTCCGGTGAAATTCTAGGAGTGGAACCCTTTTTTTTTTTTTTGGTAACCAAGTAGGGATTAAGGGGAAACAAACAGAAAAGTAATACCACCACACCGCGAAAAAGGAGAGAGAAAATGCAAAAAAGAGGGAAGACAAAACAATCGAAGGCGCGGAAAACAGAAACCTGATAAAACAATAATAAGAAAGAATGGAACAGAAAAGAAAGATGAATGATAAAAATAAGAAATCGAAATGTGGGATGAAAATATTAAGTCCCAACTGGATTACAGGGAGAGAAATGACCTGTATGTCTCTTATAAGAAGGAGAGTGGCAAGAGATCGCGAATCAGAGTGAACAATAGAGTCTTCCACGGATTCATCTGCAAGAATTAAAATCTGTTCTTTAAGAGTTAGTAATGGCCACAGCACCTTCAACTAGAAACTGAAACTTACAAAAAATTTCTTTCACCAATAATTATAGTTCAGATGCAAAGGCCCAAAAATAATCAGGTCCAGCTTTAATTCAGCTCGTACAACTAGCAAACGAATGAAGTTTGAGTGAAGCCAAATTTTCTTTGGCACCCCTATGCACATAAATCCTACCTGATGGCTTGTCTCCAAAGCTTTTTCCTTAACAATAAAGGGGTTAAAGTGTTTTTTTGGATAAATGAAGCACAAGCAACCATAACTTCTTTCTGGCATAGGTCGTCGGCAAAACCAAGTTTAAAGGTGAAGATTCTATCAGGATTATTTAGTTTAAGTTACAGTACTATGGGGAGCAGTTTTGTATTTCAAAATTCTTGTAAAGGAATCATTTATAGTACTCTAAGAAAATATTTCTTTCCATAGTAATGCTAGGGAGCAAACTGTTGGCTCCCTAACGGAGCCAACAGCCAATGGGACAACTCCATGTGGGGCTGTCCCACATTAGAGTCATGTGGGACAGCCCCACATGGAGCTGTATAATTGGTTGTTGGCTCCGTAACGGAGCCAACAGTTGGCTCCTTAGCATTACTGTTTCTTTCCATTGCTTACTTAAAAAATGAAAGTTCAAAAGCAACTTCTACAAACAAATTTCAAATGGCAGTTCTGCTCACAGTGAATTCATATATTTGGCAACAGTTTTCACTTTGAATTCCCCTAGTACGATACCCCGTATACAACATGGGTAATTGAAAACAATTGATAGTTTTACAACAAAAATGAAATAAAACAACTTAATCTTATTGTTAAATTATAAACAATAAATGTAAAATAAATACTAAAGAACTAACAAATTGCTATTAATTAACATGAAACTCAGTTAGTCAAAAACTTATTTTAATTAATATTTGTAATATTATATATTTCTAAAATAAATATTATCTACAATTCCATAAATTCTATTTCAAATTTTTAATTTTTCAAAAGCCTTATAGCATTGTAATTATATTTTCTATCTATAGAGTTGGTCTCTTTCATATATAAATTTTTCAAGTATCTTAATTTATAATATTTGATGATTTAAAATACAAGATAATATGTACAAATGTGATGTTTTCTAACTTTATGAAATATTAAAAAATATTTCATGTGTCAGCTAATGTTGGAAGGATAGAGAGCGGTAGCGATGGGCTAAAGACATGCATGCAAGTTCAGCAGGAAGATTAAGGATATATATGATTCTCGCTTTCAGTCGAGTTCAAATTGTCGGCGCATGCGTAGTAGTTAAGAAGGCCATTAATTGTGATTGTTATTTATGCCTTTTATTTTCAACATCATAATAACATTCAAACTTTATATATACTTTGTTGAAATCGAGACGTAATTTTTTTTTATTTTTTTTTTGAATTCTTAATATTCATTCACATTTTTTTTCCAAATCTATAAGAACAGTACACTAAAATTGTTTACAACATATTAATAAATATTTTTTTTTTATTTTTTATTTTACAACCTAAATTAAGTTTTAATTGATATTATTTGATGTGATATGATAATTAAATTTGAATTTTATTTATGACGACATATGAAATTATTTTCATATTATATATAAAATTAATGTTAAATTAAAAGACTTTAATAGATGATTGATTTATACATCATATATCTAAAGTAAAAATACGCATTTAAATTTAAAACCTAAGAAGAATACATATTTATATTAATTAATATATAAATTAAACAAGAAAAGGAAAGGTAATATATGATAATTTAAAAAATAAAATAGTTTTATTGTAATTCTCAAGTCTTTGTTAAAACCAAATCTGTACATGTGTCAATACGAAGCACAAACTTATGTCAAATAAGCTTCCCAAAGCGTGCGAGCTTGCCAATTATCCTCAACATGTTCTGAACTAATTATATAGGGGTTATTCAAACATCTCTCTTCGGAATAGGTGAATTGTGGCAAGTGAAATTTGGTTTCCCCCAAAAATACTTATTCTAAAATTTCTCTAGCACTTAAGAATGAAACAAGAGAAATATGTTTCAGTATTTATTAGAAGCATTTAAAAAATAATCTTCTTTATTTGGATTTTGGAGTTTCCTTCTCAGGATTCACATTTTGTAAAGCCCATTAATGGATTGATACTCATCGTCAAGCAATCCTAATTGCAATTTTGTGAAGATTTCTATCCAAAAACAGCATTCAAAAATACCATATCGCCAAAATTTCTAAAATTATAATGAAGTAATATCATCTTCTTCGGTTGGTGATACTCGAATCCCAACGGTAGAATGTCATACTTACAGAATCAAACGTCTCAAGTGGAAGGCTCTCTAGATGTCTTCGGATGACAGCATTCCCTTCGCGATGGACTAGTTTCAAGTTCACCAATCCTGAAATGTCAAGTCCACCATCAGTCAACTTCTTTTCTCTGTCCTTTTCAGGTACCTCATTGAACATCCATAATTCTGATCCTGGAGCCAAAAATGCTTCCAATACCTAAATATTAAAGGTATAAAAAAGAATCATTAGTAAGATAACTAAATCAAATAAAAATGAAAAATTGTATATATGAGTCTATGAATCACCATTATCATATCCTGAATGTCACGCCGCCAACCGCAAAATAGAATCTTTTCTGGGAATTTTGGAGGATTGGTTATTCTAGGAGTTAGGCCCTTCCATATCTGCACCAAATACTGTGCACATGTGAGAACCACGTTGCTAAAAAAATAGGTATTGCGAGTGTTTAAAGCAACATATGTAAGGCCTCTAATGCATCACAAGTTAAGAGTCAAGAGAATGACCTTTGGTAAGGAAGCAGGGGCATACGTGTCATCATCCTCAGCTATTACAAGGATTTCGTCGCCTTCTCGTATAACATAGTCATCATCTGGATTTATTCTGATCTTTCCACCCTCAGCAGATATTTTAACTCCACAAGGAATTGCATCGGGGAAAGAGATGAGAACATCCTCAAAACAACGTCCATCCAATTCAGGCCATCTTTTGATATAGAACTCTGCATTTTCAAAACCCAGAATGTCTTCCCATATCTGCAAAGTCGGGACAAATTCAATGACACCCAAAAATAATGAAAGTGCATCAGCAAGACTGCAAGGAACTTTTCTGAGTGAGTCGATTATATAAACACCACGACTTTTTACTGGTCAGTTGCATGATGACCAAGAAGGGAAACATAAAGCATTGTGATGTGTGACTTATCTGACATAGATCATAGATGTCATTGTTTATTATTCATCCGTTAGGATATAAAAATATTTTCGTAAAAGGTATTCTTCGACAATTCAGCTATATATTTTTGTTCATCAACTTAACAGTGGTCACCCCTTTATTTGAACAGCATTACATAACAATTTTGTAATTGCATCTTGCTAATTGGGTTGGGTGCTCTCAGGCAGACCATCTCTGTTTCAATAATTTGACAATTATGTAGATGTTTTCTCCTTTCTTTAAGAAAAAATTACGTACCGTTTTTCTCTAATCACCATGATATTATCTAATAATATGTATTGAGTATTTGAGTGCAATATTCGTTGAAAGAAGGACAAACAAAAATCATGAAATCCTGCTTTCATTTGTATATGAGATATCTATACCAATGGAAAGAAGATTTACAGAAGCACACTTGCTAACCTGTGCAAGGCCAGGCTGGAGAGCACACTGTATCATAAGTCGTCCAATCACATCATGAGCAACTACTGTCTCGATGAGTTCTCCTCCAACAAGCTTCACCAAGGGTTCATTGTCAAGATCGCTCATTTCTACAACAACATGGCCCCTCAGGCTTTCTTTTACTCCAGTTAAACTAAGCACAACCCTTAGAGCCCGCGCATCGCTCTGAATATAAATTTCCGAAATAGTTAGTTAAATAGTCCTGCCAAACATCGACCCCACAATAAGAGATTCTAGAATAAGACCTGATCAGCATTCTCATCAGAAGCTAATACTATGATTGCGCGTGCCTTAGAGACAGAGACCTATAATACGAGAAGATAAGACATGACAGTATGGTCAGAGGGAATAGGAAATGGGTCATGATAAATTCAACTCTAATCATAATTAGAGATAAATAGCAGTATTGACAAAGAAAAAAGTTTTGGGCTGATGTACCTTTTTTAAGTCCGCAAGTATAAGAGGGCTACCACTTCTGCAGATAACTGATGTTCCCATTAAGTTGAATTCAAGCTGTGCAATATCCATCTCCATTTCCTCCTTGTCCCTTTCTGCAAGTACAACAATAACACCACCGCCAATGCTTTTGTTCGCTATTGCTAATTGCTTCAAAAGTGAACCCTGTAGTATATAAAAACACACCTCTAGATAAAGACAATAATTTGAGTAGTGGAGTGGTACACACTAAAATGGAATGAAGAGTACTGGGCTTTGGTAGTTTTTAAGGAAAATACTAGGAGCGCAGTTACAAAACCTTGAGCTGGATAATGGTTCAGAACTAACTCCTATATATGAAACAGATGTATTTCTAGGTCCAGCTTAGGAAACATAAATGCAACTGCCGAATGGCTGAACTGATTCGTAAATCAATCTATCTAGCAAGTTTTGAATTCATAAAAAACTCTTCTTTACAAAATTATTATTAAGAAAAAATACACTTAACAGATATGAAAGAAAAAAAAAAGTTACATTAATGTATTTCGAAGACAACAATCACAACTCTTTAAGATTAGCTAATATACTCAGTGGCATTAGTTCCCAAAAATGATTAAAATTAAAGTAGGGTCAATTTTTAAGAGCATTACCAACTTGTCACTCCATCCGAGAATGAGAATATGGTTACTTTCAATGACCTCACTCTTTCCCTTACGCAATGAGTCCACCTTCTCTGAAATAGCATCTGAAACAAGCCCCAGCATCATGGCAAAAATTAGCATGCCTCCTGAGCTTATAGAAACTGAAACAATCCGTGGCCCAATGCCAACCCTATCAGCATGACTTCCGGAATCTGCTACAAAGGTCCAAGAAAGCCAAAGAGCTTCAGCTAAGCTGCTATCACTAACACCATACAGTGCCACGCCTCCGAACCCAATGACAAATAGAGTGGCAAAGAGAAGTGCAAGCAGCTTTGCGTAAGGATAGACAGAGAAACAAACGTCCACCATATAGGCAATTCTGTTCTTCAGGGGAACCTCTTCTTTTCCATCCTTTTCCCTCTTTAAAAGAGTTATGACTCGTGGAAGATAATTGAGATATTTATACAGTACAAATGGTGTAAGGAGTGTAACAATAACTGTGTATAGAGCTATTGCTCTAGAGTCGGTATTCCCGAAATACAAAGCTGAACTATCATTTTCAAGTTCCAAACTTCCAATGCCCTTGCTATCAACAACATTTTCATGACTGCAAAATGTGCGGAGGTTGGTGCTCTCTTCCTGCAATAATATCAGCTTCTCCATCAGATATTGATGAAATGGCATGTTCACTCTGTCATTTTGATTTATTCGTATTTGACTTTCTGTAGTATCAAGATCTGATTAGTCCAAAAATCAAACTATATGCCTTCAGGAGCAGTTCAGCAAAAAGTAAAAGGAGATTCTAGAGGAAACAGGTTTTTGTGAATTAGAGTCGTATTAACCTTCTAGTGTTTATCATTCTAGGTTGCAAGTATAATGTAGGCAGTTTATTTAGGCTTAGCACATACCTGCAATCTTGCGACTTCAATCCGCAAGAACATGGCATAAGAAAGTGAAATGAAGCAGAAAAAACTGAGCTGCAAGTTCAAGCAATAAATATTAATCTGGAACTCATCAATAACAGTGAAAGACCAATTCTTCTAACGCCATTATGCAGGGAAAAAGGGAATAATTACAATAATAATTCTAAACGCAACTCTCAATCTCGTACACCCTCAAATTCTAACAAAAACTGAGTTCTGAATATTCGTGTAAATTTATTAGGAGTCAAGTCTTATTAAATTTCCTCAGAAAAAAACATGAAAAGGCAATATCTACATGACCAAGGCTTGTGTAAGCCCAGCTTGGGAGAGAGAACCATGCGGCTAATTGTTTCTGGTGATAAAAGGTGGCCGTGAATGATTTCCTTCCAGACAAGGAAGTAGTAATAATAACAAACGAATAACAAAAAGTTTCAATAGGAATATAGTTAGAGGGCAAATGCAAAGTTACTTACAGAACACACCCTACAAGAATTGAAGTGATTCTTATATCAATCCAAAAAAGCTGGACACTAAGAAGACAAACGTGACCTAATTGAGGAGATTGAAAAATAACCTATAAAAATGCCAGCAACCTCAATCTAGAAAAAAGCAAGATCTCAAGCTGAAACTGGTTTCCCACTCTAGCTCCACCAATGTAATGAGGCTTAAATATCTCAAATTCTTGTCATCGAACTGACCTTAGCCAAAGCTAGATATTCGTGTAAAGCTATCTCCGTTGAAAAAAAAAAGCTTTCAGCATTCATACGCGCTGCATAGCATTTTGTAAAACTGAAAGGAGAAAACTCGGATTCTTACAGTACCTCAGAGTGTGCTAAGAATTCAACTACCTGGCACCCAACAATCATCTTTTAGTAATAATATTAATAATAATAATCTACCATTTTCGCTGTCATATTTCAAACAACTTCAAATAACCTAAGAAATGCAAGTATCAAACGACGGTTGCTTGGTGGCTTTAAATTAGCTGTCATTTACTTGATTAGATATAGGGCCAAAAAGATCAAACACGAAATAAGATTCAACTGAGATATCCCAATTGCATTTAGTGGAAAGGGACACGAGACCAAACTGAAAACGAAATGTAAAGTGGAACCATGTACTCAGCAGAAAAATACCATCCAAGAATATCTGAAGGACGAAATCCTCAGAACACTGCACGAATTAGTTGAATCGTTAGGCGCAGAAACCACAGACGTTGCCGGAACCAACCCTGACGAGGCTTGGAGAGACAGAGCCTTCAAATCATTTTCGTGTCTCAGCTTGGGCTTATTGATCGGCGAACCTAGCCCTCGAGAGGAGTCCACCGTGTCCCTGCTCAAATTAGCCGGCGTGGAGGTGCTTCTAGCTGCCGATAGAGACGGCGGCTGCTTGTGAGATTTGGAGAAGGAAGAAGAAACAGAATAAGGGGATTTGAAGGAGACGCTCCGACGAGTGGAGTAAAGGCCCCGATCCGATAAATTGAAGCTCAAAGCGTCGCTGCTGCTGCTACTGTATCCGCCGTCGGAAGATGACGTGGCGTCGGAGGAGGATAAGGAAGATGTGTAATGGAATGAATGAGATGGCGAGAGGCGGCGGACGGCGGGGAAGTGCAAGGGTCGGGGATCGTCCGAGCCCGACGGCGTCGTTTTGGACTTCATGTTCAACGTCGTCCGGTTAGGATTGCCGGAGTCGATGGATCGGCGGTGCCCTGCATGTGCTTGATTGTGTGCGTGTGTGTGATATGAGAGTGAGTGAGAGGGAGAAGTGAAGCTGACTTTGGGGGAAGAGAGAGAGAGAGAGAGAGAGAGTGAACAGTAATTGACTGTCTGAGTGGGTTCTACTTTATTGTTATTTCAGTTGGGAGGAATTAGGAAATTTATATATTAATTTTAAAAAAATACTACATTTCTTTTTCTGAAATTGTAAATTTAATAACTAAAACATATAATTACAACCGGCTAGATAGCCGGAATAAGTGGATTCAAATGGACGTTCAAGAGTGTGGAAGCATTTGACAAACTCAAGAAAGCTATGACAACAACTCCGGTATTGGCTATGCCTAATTTTGTTGTGATGTTTGAGGTGCATACGAATGCTAGCGATATCGGAATTGGAGTCGTTCTTACAAAAGAGGATTGACCTATTGCTTATATGAGCAAGGCTTTGGGGAGATTTTTATTGACTCGGAGTAAAGAATGGAGTTCGGGAGTTTGTGCAAACTGTGATTTTTGTCAACGGGTGAAGTCGGATTCTAGAAAGTCGGGTGGACTATAGCAACCATTACCGATGCCCGAACGAATATGGGAGGATATCACGATGGATTTCATTGAAGGATTACCAACATCTAACGAATTTAACGGGGTTATGGTGGTCGTTAATCGTCTTACCAAGTATGCACATTTCAGTTCCTTAACTCATCCATACACAGCTAAGTCGGTAGCCAAATTATTTTTGGTACACGGGATGCCACGTTCCATTATGTGAGATAGAGATCGGATCTTCCCGAGTAACTTTTGGAAGGAACTTTTCAAATTGCATGGGACCGAATTGGCTATGAGTTCAGCGTATCATCCTCAAATGGACGGTCAAAACCAATCGTATCCTTGAAAAATACCTCAGATGTAATGTTCATGAGTTTGCAAGAAAGTGGGAAAATGTTTTGACTTGAGATGAATTTTGGTATAATACGACTTATCATGCTTTGACCAAATTTACTCCTTTCGAGTTGGTTTATGGTCGAGTGGCTCCTACATTGATTAGCTAGCCGTTGGGGAAGTCTCTGAATGTTAAAGTTGATCGTGAGCTAGTGGAACGAGATTTGATGATTCGAGAACTAAAAAGTAATCTCTATGGGTCGATCAACAACATGAAAGAGTACTATGATAAAAGAAGATGAGAGGAGCGATTTGAACCGAGCGATTGGTTTATTTGAAGCTTCGACCTTGTCCTCAACAAACGATCTCTCAGAAGGCTTTATTCAAGTTGGGCAACCGTTTCTATGGTCCATATCAAAACGTAGAACACGTGGGAGAAGTGGACTATTGACTCGATTTACTGGCGGCATCTCAAATTCATCCGGTTATTCACGGATCTCAATTCAAGAAAAGTTTGGGTGAACATCATGAAGTTCATACAAGGTTGTCATTGGTGAGTCCCGAAGGCACTATAATTGTACGTCCGACATGTGCATTGGATTATTAGAGGATTAAGCAGGCTGGTCGTTTCCGTTGGGTAGTCTTGATCGAGTGGGACGGTTTGCCGGAAGAGGAATCTTCTTGGGAAAATCTACAAGATATGTGTGTTCAATTTCTGGATTTTGTCCTCGAGGACAAGGACACACTTGAAGGGAATGATAATAATGCACATGAGGATCATCGTCTGAAGAATAGTTATTTTCTCGTTTTTGTTTGAAATAGATCAATTACATATCAATTTTACTCTACATTGTAATTCGCTCCCAAAGAAAAAGGAAAAACAAAAAAAAAAATTATCAAAATTAAAAATGTGAATGTTTTATCTTACTATTATATTGATTGATGAAAGACTACAGCTCGTTACAGAATAAATATTATATTATTATTCAGAAATTACCAAATAAATTGCAGAACACATTATCGTTTGACAAGCAAAACCTAACAATCCCAATTCAAATTCATGCAACACGATCAGTCGATCACCATATACACATTAAGAATCCAATTATCCAAATTCAAATACATAGTACAACACAAACTACCCTAAAAATAAACCAACCGAAAAAAAAAGGAAAAAAAAGGGCAAGTATCAAAACAGAAATCAATTCTAATCATGCGTGACAGGATAACCAATCCCATGCCTCCTACTAGGAAACACCACAAACAACAAGGAAGCAACGAGCCCAATCCCAATCGGGCCGATATCCAAAACCTCCCGGGCCTCAACCCCGGGCCTCGGGTAAAAACACCCCACCACGTTCTTGTCCCTGACTGCCACCGCGCCGAACACTAGGACCGACAAAACAGCATGGACAAAATCGACAAAGCCCAATCTGTACCCGCCAAAATCACGGGCCAGGCCCGAATTCGCAGCGCCCACGTAGTCAAACAACCAGAGGCCCTTAAACGTGGCGAAGCCGTAGTAAACTCGGCCATCGGCCGCCTTAACGCTGTCCGTGAACGAGGCCAAGAAGCAAGACAGGGCTAAGGTGGCAAGAAGGATGAGGGTCATGGGCCGGGTGGCCGGGTCGCACGACCCGTTGTTGGTGAAAATTGGGGTCAGGAGCTGGAAGGCCAGGAGGGTGCCGGTGGGGAGGAGATTGGCTAAATGGGCCGAGCTCTGTAGGGCCTGAGAGAGCGCTGATTGCGCCGGAGGAGGCGGTGGGCTTGGCAGGTTCGCCGGAGGAGAAGAAACCGATGATGATAATGATGATGTTCTTCGTCTGAGAGACATTTTTTTTATTTATTTATTTTTTCTTTTTTTGGGAGGATTAATGAATGTGTTCAAGAATATGAGTATTTGTAGGGGAATTTGAAAGAGGAGACAATTTAATTTAATAGAAGAATTTTCTGGTCATGGTTAAGGATGTTTGTTTGATAATAATATGTACGTGGAATCATAGTTTTCGATTTGTTAACTATGTTTTGTTGCGTATAATAATTAAAGAGATGAAGAAGGTTAGGTGGACAAGTAATATATGTTCCGATCTCTTCATGAATAATGGCGACCGTGTGAAGTTTTTGAATAATAAGGTTTTCTTGATGTTAATTTGTCTTGGTATGACCTAATCTAAGGAATAATCAAATCAACAGTCAAACACTTACTTTCGTTAACCGTTAGATCAATTATTCCCGGTGATTATATAATGATCTAACAATTATAAACTATTGTTAACTCAGACAGAGTTATTCCGTAACAAGACCGTAACGATTGCTTATAAGATTTGTTCTTCTCCAAATCAAAGAGAATTTTTGGTGGGTTTTATTTTTTTCAATTGTTTTTTTGGCTCCAGTGGCAGATATAGAGAAGATCATATTAAAATTTATATTAACAAATAAAATAATATAATATTATTGTATAAAGTGCAAATATCATATTTTTAAATGAACTTTGTGATTTTCGTACTATGAAATAAATTTGTAGATATCTTCAAAGTAGAATAGCCCAAAGGATGACATAGAAAATGTGGATTAGAGAATATAATTGAAAATAAATTAAAGAAATTTCAAGTTGTACCTGTGGGTTTATACCTCGATGTTAAATACGAAGAAAGTCAACCTTGATAGAGTGGTGGATTAGGGTGGATTGGAATATTGGATTATTATTACTTTTTTGAATAAATGATGGTTAATTAATTGTTAAACATAAGGCTTAATATTGGATTGGTCTAGCTACACCAAGCACATGCTGCATCCTCTCAAAGCTCATGCTTCTCCTTTGCAGTACATCATGCAACGTGCTTTTACTTAGCATTAATTGATAGTTGTCTTATGTGATGAGTCATCTTTCCTTTTAGGGTTTACTTTCTTTGTCTAGTATAAAAGCAATGTACATCTCTCTTAGAAATGTAATGGCTGCTACACTCTTTCTGTGGTTTTGTTTTGCAATGAGAAAGATTTCCATTTTCATGAAAACCTTTCATGGTACCAGAGCCATGATCCGTCCCATCACATAAGACCTAAAAAAAAA